CATTTTGATTTGATGTCTAAAACTTTTTAATCATCAGTTAATGGTTGAAAAGAATGTGATTTCTGGCATATTCCATATCATATGTGTACATTCAATATATTGTGTCAAAACATAAGTTGATAGATTTAGTTCATTCAATTTGTATAATATGTCTTCCATACTATCCATCAGGCAAATGCAGTTCAAATTGTCAATCCAAATAGACAAGTCACACTTACTTTCTGTGGGGAAAAATAAAAAGCCTATTTTTCAATTTAAATACTTATATCCTGGTGGCAACTATCTCACTTCTAAATTCTAATTCTAAGATAAATTGGATACACATTGAGCGTAAAATGAGTCTATCACCTGGATGAAATAAGGCACGGCCCCATCAATATTTCTTACCATCTTTTTGCCTTGCTGTCACCTCCTCAGGACCTGGACATTCCTTTGTTTGTTTCTCCAAAGATTTTTACATGCTGAGTAATGATAGTAAGATTGAGGATTGGTGAACATAGGCTTTTCTTTTGTAAAGTCGGAGCAATGCAAGGAGAGGTGATGAAGGATACATTTTAACCTTAGATAAGACGCTTTTTAAAAAAGAGTACATATAGAGATTGAATATTTGGGAAATTATTCATTTGAAACTATACATAGCAATACATACCTTGGGGAAAAAATCTTAATGTATTCCTTGGATTTGAGTCTCCCACTGTGAAGATGGCTGGTCTAGATGATAACCTGCTACATGATTAGAAAACTTTTTTTTCAACAATGCAATAGTGAATTGAAATATATTTACTACATTATGTATGTTCCACTCTATTTCAGTTCCCCTTTGAGTACTTGCAGTACGATAAATTTATCCACTGATGATGCCCCAACTATTTGACAATATCATGGTGTATCCCCAACATCTTTCCATCTCCAGGATTAATATTCCCAGTTCCTTGAATCATTCATTATTTCTCATTGTTTTCAGTCCCTCATTCTGATAGTTATCCTGCCATAACGATACTCAAAATTATAAACATTTTCCTGAATTTTGATGTTCAACTCAGAATAATGTTTCTATTGCCAGGGATAAAATATTAATCTTACTAATTTTTTACAATGTAAAAAGCTACAATTCACTGAATGCTTACTATATGCTCAGTGTTTAAAATACTGTTATTCTTCTTCTCATTGCATAAATGAGAAAACTAAATTGAAAAAACAAACAAAACTAGATGACTTGAGCAAGATCAAGAGCTTCATTCAGTACCTTGTTTGTTAATTATTTGCTCGCTGGGCCAGTAGTTGATTTAACAGCAACATGACAACTTATGGAGCACACCTCTGTATGTATGCAGAGAGGGGTCCAGAGTAGCTGAGATACACAATTAGGCAAAATGTTAGGATCACCTGAACATCCTCTGGAAAAGTCCCATAAATCTAAGAGGAGCCTGGCATGTGTCATGCTGCACTGTGGTTAAGAAGGGCCTGCCTCAGTGGCTTCATGCAGTGAAGACATTTTCAAACTAGACACTGGGAGTGTGGAGCATCTGGTAGACCGCTACTGGGGGCAGAGGACCCCCTTGATGGGGCCTCTCATTCCCCCTCCTCTGCTGGACCCAAAGGGCTCTGCTTTTCTCTACTTTTATTTGTTTACACTTTTCCAATCAGAAGTAAATAGAGATAAAATCAAAATAGAGATAGAAATAATGATGTGTGTGTGTGTGTGTGTGTGTGTGTGCATGTGAGAGAAAGAGAGAGAAACCACTAGTCCTTAAAATAATACTAATTTTGGAAGCAGTTTGCTTGGGTTTGATTCCAGTAATATACGGTACTTCCTAGTAAGTGACTTGGGCTTGGTCTTTAGCTACTCTGAGCTTTGGTTTTCTCACCTGACATACAGCAGGTGCTCAAAGTTTTTTCTTGAGCAAATAAGTGAATAAATACATAATTTTGTATTTTCAGAAAATATAACCTTCAGGGGTATTTGAGGATTAATGCTAATATAGGGAGAGTTTAGTAAAGCCCAGGTATATATTAGGTATTTTGTAAATAATAAAAATAATAGCATTTATTGCTGATGTTATTTTTTATAACCCTCATCTGAGGATATGTTTTTTTTAAAAATAGATTCTAGAGAGAAAGGGAGGGAGGGAGGAGAGAGAGAGAGAGAGAGAGAACGAGATCAACGTGAGAGGGAAACATAGATTATCTCCTATATGTGCCCCAATTGGGGATCGAACCCTCAATCTAGGCATGTGTCCTGACTGGGACTCAAACCTGCAACCTTTTGATGTACTGGATGATACTCCAACCAACTGTGCCGCCACTCAGGGCTGTTGTTATTGATTCAATACGATTGTGGATTGATGTACCAGGTGCCCATGTGGCACTTTTCTCTAAGTTAGATAGAGATCGCTCACCGTATATTTGGAATGTACCTGAGTCCAGAGGGGCTTTCCCATCACAAGTCTGGGAATCTCAGAGGCTTCTTGGTTCTCAGCTCTTAGAACTGTGGCTTGAGAAGTCTGGTGGCAACCTGTTGTGTGGAAGAGGTCTTGCCACTGTGCCAGATGTGCCAGAATCATAAAGCAACTCAGTGGGATCAGTTCTTGCTGTCATTGCTATTTCTGGGGCTTAAATCACACTACCTAGTGACGTCCAAGTCTTTGTATTTAGCACATTTATTCTCTGGGTAAGAACAAATTATGAACCTGCAGCCTATTCTTTTTTAAAGAGAAAGGAAGAAAAGCATGTTGGGATTTAAGACCTGAAAATTGATGTCTTTAATCTGCCCAAGACCTTTCCAATTAAATATCATTATCTTCTGGATCATGTTCATCTGCTGTAGAATGGAAGTCCTCCAGGACCAGGCGTTATCTTTTCAGAGGTTGTGTAAAGTGACCCACTCACTTTTATCATTCCTGGTGTACATAACAGATGGTTATTGTTTCTGACAAAAGAAAAAGAAAAATGGCAGACTCATCACATGTCCTAAAAGCTTGGTCTGCAAAAGGAATCCCATTATGTACATATTGTAATCCCATTACCATGTACTATAAAGGTATGTATGTTCCTCCTGGGAAAACTCTGCAATGCATTTCTCCACGTCTAGAAAACAGACTAAGTGAGAGTTAAGTCTAATTATGTAAAGATTCTTTGCTTTACAAGACAGTTTTTCTAAAGTGTCTCTTTAAATAGCCAAATCCCTTTTTGGAGTATTCAGAATTGGATTTGCTTTGCAAAATGTTTAGACTCAACTTTTCAAGAGCAAAGAGAGTACACAGAAATGGAGCACACTGTATGTCAAGTGTCAACGGTGAGGTCAAACTTAGCGATCACAGTGAAAACAAGGCTCTCACCATCCCATCTCTGAGCCCATCAAAGTGAGAATGTCCAAATGTGGCAGGTGGCTTTTACAGGGCATTGGGTGCCCTCATTTCAGGCAGGAAAACTAAGCCAGCACCGGGGTCATTGTCCATCATTAACTGTGACTCTGGCAGCCAAGGGCATCAATTCGTGCTCTGAGCAATCATGCATTATTCAGCATGCACTGAATTATTCACTTAAATAGGGATACTTTTTTTTTAAAGATTGAAACAATTATGAAGAAAAAGCTGATGACTTTTATTAAAATAAATGGGAACAGAATTTTTGGAGAAATAATATATTTCTTTCTCCATATATAAGTCTTGGGCATGGAGAGGAAAAGGAGAAGCTGGAATAGGACTAAATAGGAACACAGGGTCAGAAGGAACTCCCTACCTGCAACAAACAACCGTTCCTCCCAATGTCAAACTCCCTTCCTTGCAAAAGCTCCTGCTGGCAAATACAAGTAGATAGGTGGGCATCAATCATTCCTGCTATCTCTCAATTCTGATGCATCGCAGGACAAAAACAACAATGTGTACTGCATCACTCAATGTAGCAAGGTAAGTATTGTGCAGGCACTGTGTTAGGCTTAAGGCTAAGAAGAACACCAGACCCAGAGGGAAGAATGAAATGCACACTTAATAAGACACCTAAGTGCCTTCTAAGACCCTACAATGTTTTTATGTGCTGTTCCAAGCTGGGTTCTCCAGTAGAAAAATGAGAATACTTCATTTTCAACTATTGGTTTAACACAATGTTAAACCAATAGTTGATTAGTCTTTGTCCATATTTAGGCAAGCTTATAGGACTCTTTCAGGAAATTCTGTCAGTTGTGCTGAAAGGCTATTGTTAATAGGACAGCAAAGGCATTGAGAACTTTAACAGCATCAGGGCCAGTGAGGGGGTACTTTGTAAGAAGCACAATACTCAGAATTTTCACAAGGCAGTTCATTTCCGCACTCCTCTGGGTGATATTTTCGTTTCCCTGCTGTGTAAGCCTTGTGCGTGCTGTATGTGCTAGCCAGTGTCTTCATTGTCCGAATATAAGTGTTTCATATACTAAGCAGGTCTTGGACCTGGAGATGAGTGTGTGAGGGAAGAGAGGAGGTACATGGGTCAGGAGGAGTGAAAGATAAGTTGGAGACTCCATGGAAAGGAAAGTGGTTCATTTGGATTATTTGATGTGAAATACATGTTCGAGTTTGTTTTTCAGGTTCCAGCCCTCTCTTCTCTCCCAAATGCACAGTTTCTGTTCAGAACCAGGCCAGCAGAAGCCAGACTGGGGAGAGGGGTTGTCCTCAACAGCTGAGGGAGAGAAATGTGACATGGCCCTGAGAAGAGATGATGTCTAGAGTATAAAAATGTGTTCTTGGGATCAAGTGGGAAGGGTTGAGGGTGAAGAATCAGGCAGCCAGAGAACTGAAGCTTCAACCCTTCCTAGGCACAGGACTGCGGAAGGTGAGTTGCTCACAGGGTGGGTAGGGGTGTGCCTGATAGCCCTTGGGCAGGGGAAAGGTGTGGAACTGGGAACATGTGTGGCAGAAGCTTGCTCTTCCAGGAAGAGATGTTGGGGTATGAGGGTTGGGTGGGGGCCTGAGGGGTGGCTTGGAGCCCTGGAGGTGGCTGCCTGACGTCACCGGCCTCTCTGGCAATAGGCTGCGAGCTCAGCTCCCCGAAGCGGCAGCAGTATCGGCGGCAGCGCGCCTCGGTCTCTGGCCCCTTCACTCCGTGCCTTCTGCAGCTGCCACTGCAGCCGCCCGGCGGGGCTCTCTCCCTACAGCCAGCTCGCAGCCCCAGGTAAGGGACTCGGTGCGGCTACAGGCTCGGGG